GAAAAACAAGATAATTGATAAAACTAAAAAGCTTGTTCGTTCTTCATTAACCCAAAAACCATCATCCAAATGCGCCCCTACAGAAGTCTGATCCACACCTACACACCTTCTTCCCTTCTCTTACCGAAGCTCCATAATCATACCTCAACTCTGTCATTGGAGGTATATGCTTCATAGCAAACAGTCCAATGTGTAGATATAACTTGCCATAGATTTCACGCTTCATTGGTTGCCACAAGACATTAGGGGTGCAACTGTGGTTAATAAATCTAGCCACGTTCCCAATTTTCCTGGCACTTATAACCAACGGTTCTGCCAGATCAGCCTTTTCCGAGACTTGAACGTCAGGTATTTTCTCCCCCACGAGCTCATGCTCGTAGTTCCACTTCATAGAGTTATAAACACGTGAAGAGTCAAATAAGAAGTCATCATCATCGTCTTCTTCGCCTTTCTTGATCACTTCACCTACGTATTCACAGATGAAGCTACCGGCACGGATCGGGTCCCAAGACCGTAACCCCCAACCACACTCCACCGTCTTGAACACTTCAAGATAATATCCCAAACCGTTCTGGATCATCTTGTTTTGGCATCTAGCACTGCAGCGACAAGAGCTCCCACACTCAAATATCATAGGTCTACGAGCGACCAAAACATTTTTAGCATAAGGCATGTCGCATCCATTTCTCTGACCGCAAAGACAGTTTCCACTTTCTGTACCACATTGCATGCCTTTACATTTGCATCTACTAACCTTAACATCAACAGTCTCGAGCCAGTGCGAAAGAGTAGTGACATAAGTGAAAGCCATCGGATCCTTCTCGTCGTCCACTTCGTTAACCAGAGGAATCTTGTAAACCTCTGCCCCAAAAGAGATATCGTCGAGAATCAGTCCTGGTCTTGGAACCAAACCACTCTTCCACCCTTCGATATGTTTCCAAACTTGGAAACCGGGTTTTTGACCAGGTACCCTCACTAGCTTGAACTTGAAAATTCTCAAATTGTTTTCTTCGTAATCTTCCCGCATTTCCGTGACCAAATACAAGCCGTCGTAAATATAGACCTTTTTCCACCTATGATCCTTTTCCTTTCTTACCACCCGTACAACAGTCTTCTTACACAAAGCATTGTATAAAGAAAGATTCATTCTCTTGAGCTCTTGGTGTGATGGTACACCACCACCATACTTTTCCGTACCACCATGCCCTGTACAGACTATAGATTCAGGGTCTCGAGCTGTATCAATGTATTTACCTGTAGAGATAACGCTAATGGCTAATGGCTCCGAATTCTCGTGAGTTCCCATGAACTCAATAGTAAGGGTGGCTAGATGAAGCCCCGCCAAATACATTTCTCCCCATAAGAAGAAGATGTCTCCTACATCGACACCAGGAACCGACCCAATCCTCTTCTTTTCATTTGTATGCAATTTGAGGTTCTTGAAAGTACGGAGAGCCGACAAAGCATGTCCACTCCTGATAATCTGGGACAAGCGTCTTTTAACCGCATTAAAGCGCATCAGAAGGCTACTCACAAGCTCAGCGTTTCCTGTTTCTCTATCTCTTTCACTGATTCCGCCTTGAAAATTTGGAATAGACATTATCGAATTCGTATGGATCTTCTTCGGGTTTTCAGAAGCTTTTGGTCGGCCAGGTCTTCTTTT